TTTTTTTTTTTAATATCTTTCACTTTGGAATTTCCTGTGACTTTCCAGTGCCCTGTTGATGATTAACTCTGCCTTTACCCAGGGAGAAATATTCATTAGATGATTAGATTAGCAAGTCACTAGAATTGGATTAATGTAAATACTTCTTGTAAGTGAAGCAGGAAGGGTTGGCACAGTATCTGCAAAGCCTCTGCTGTCAGCTACACAGGAAGGTGGAGAGGAAAAGCAAAAGCGAACCAATCCTTAATGGGTAGGGGAAAGCTTAAGTGCTTTTGTTTGCAATAGGCAGTGAAAGCTGCAGAAAGGATTTCTCCAAAGAAATCTGCTTATGAGGCAGTGCCAGCCAGTGCTTGTACACTCCTGAAAAAGGAGGACCAATGTGCTCTACCTTTGCAGCCTTTTCACCGTAGCACACAGGCAGACCTGGCATGGAAGAGGGCCGTGGTAGATTAAATGGACAGATGTGCATTTGTAGCTTATGATGATGATTCTTCTATAATAAGATTTTTTGACACAGCAAGGTTTTTTGATTTTAAACTAATCCTCTTATGTAACTCAGTTACGTTCTTTCTCTTGTCCTGAATAATAATCTGATTTTCAGATACTCTGTGGTTTTGTTTGTAATTTTTGCCTTTGCAGGGATGAGTTTCAACTGATTACAATAGTTTTAGATGGCAATCACCTGATCAAGCATACTGTTCTAATCTCTTGAAGATAATCACTAAAAATATATCTTCCTTAATCTCCTTTGCTGGATAAGAGAAAAAGAGAAGCATTGGAAAGGGCAGTGTGCCGTGAGTAGSGGACTGACTGTGTGCACTACAGGTTGCTTTCCTTTGCTTCTTCTGAATAAAAATGCCATCTTTTCCCATCCTGAACAGCTTTGGGAAGCTGTGTGGCTCGGGCGATGAACTGGTGCTGGAAAAAGTGAAATTTCGAAATTCAGTCAAAAGGATGTCAGTAATTGAGGATGGGGACATTGCAGAGGTCTTGTATCTCATTCCCAAGCAGAGCTTCCTGAAGAAACTGCCCTACTTGAATCCAGATGACTACTACTTGTGTGAGCAGTTATTTGACACCCCTGAGCATCTGGGTAAGTGGGGACTGCCATCAGATCTTGATTTTTGGTTGATGAATAGACTAAATTGCTTTATAGTTACCTCATGTTTTGTGTAGCAGTAAGATACTGTATGACAAAAAGTGTGTTGAGGTGTGGAGAAATATTTTTATCACTGACAGAGAGGAGGGAAAGCAGAATAAAAAGCCAAGTTGGAACTTGGATTGTCAAAAGTAGTTGATGGATATAGGTTCAGCTCTCTCTGTGTGTCCATCCTGGGACAAAGGGGATCTTAATCTTCAGAAGTATTCAAGCTAGAAAAGTACYTTTTGAAAGCACAGCGTTCTGTAAGTAGTGTGTTCAGAGCTTTCCTATGCATTTTGTGAAACTGTTTCTGTTTGTTTTCAAACTATTGCCAATAAGTATTATTTGAAGTTGCCTCATTATTGAACTGGAAGACCTGATTGCAAGTCTTTCTGGGTTCACCACCTTGTCACTTGTGAATTTAGTAGACTTCTGTTGTATCTTTTATCCAGGTGCCTCCGTTTCCTGGATAGGAAGTCATAACTTATTTAGAGGCGCTTTATGCAGGAGCCAGTCCATGCCTTTGATTATCCTTTTACATTTATTTTGCTAATTCTGCCAAAACTCTTGGAAAATTGGGGAGTAAAACTGCGTTCAACTTGTAGCGTAATGTGGGTAGATGCTCAGTCATAACAATGCTTTTTGTTCCTCYCAGTAGTTTCTAAAATTTGGGTTGTGTTTTAATTAATATTGAACATTAGTTTATTCCTTAATAGAGCAGTAGAATGTTGGGAGAATTAGTACCTGTAATTCATCAGCTCAACTGACTTGTTACAGTCCATTGCAAATTTTTTTTTAAAAAAGTTTTCTGGAGAATCCTGTCTGAAAGTGAAATTGGCTATAAATATTAATATCTTTCAGCTAAATTGCAAAGATTTTTATCTTCTCGGACTTGCTTTATGGATCTCAGTTTTGATAACCCAAACTACTTGGAATGGAATTTTGGAATTTTGGAATTTTGGTTGGAATTTTGTCTGTACTAAGTAGATTGAGAAAGCTGCTATGTGCTTCTCACTCTGTCCAGTTACTCAAAATGTTAATACTGAGTAGGCAAGTATTTTCCAAATATCTACTCTGGTAACAGTTTTTCTCTGTGCAGATTTGCTTTTTGCTAGTCAGCTCTGTACCTGATGAACTTCACCTTGTAAGAGTAGAAGTGTCCCAAACCCACGTGCTGTTGCAGATACTTACTGCTTCTGAGTAATCTGAATAATCCTTCTGAGTAATCAGTAATTCTGATTTTAAAAGTAGCATTTTAATGAAAGTGATGCTAAAACATGGGGCAAATCTGTAATACAGATGTGAGCTGGAAAAAGCAGATATCATTCTACCTTGCCAGCCCCCACAGTGTTTCACATTGGTTTTCTGGAGGAAAAATGTGCATACAATTAGGCTTTTTTATGAATCACAATTTAGGATTGAAAATTACGTGGATGAACAGTGACCAGCTATATGATCAACCCGTGCAGGACTCTAATGAAATTACTGCCATCATAGCAGGCTGGGAGCCGCCTTCTAATTTGTATGAGGCTTAAATTAATCTGGAAATCCTCACTTTTRCAGCTCTTCACTCATGGGAGAGCAATCACAAAGATAGTGGGAMAGGCTCTGTTATCATTATGCTGCAATAGATAATGCAAATAAGCACTGTGGATTTTCTTCCTTTCATCCTACAGTAGGGGTGTTACTGTTAATAGGATGGGAATTGTGGTCCTCCTTTCCAGTGTCGTGTATAATGCTACCTGAAAGGTTGCAAGGTGTCTGGTCCCTGTGCTTTAATGAAATTACAACAATTGGAATGAGAATCTCACCTACTTAGAATAGAAACAGTGGAATGTCTTTTGAACACAGCCTGAGGGTAAATGCTGTATGTGACTTTAAGATGCAAAACACGTAAGTCTGTCTCCTAGGCCATGTGCTGCTCAGGGATTATGGTCCCTCAAGTACTACAAGATTTAGCAGCTTATAAACCCTGCTGAAGGACAGTTTGCTGTCTCTATTTGGCTTTGCAAACAGAGATTAGAAATTACAAGTTCAAAGCACTTGGAGACTCGGTTATTATTCTCTTTGCTGATCATAAATGGAATCATAACCATGAGGAAAGGCCCATGTTTTAGGTTTTTGGAAGGTYAAGAATTATCAACAGGTGCAGAGCTGTTTAGTATTYAGGAGGTGAGCCTTTGGASTMTCATCCATTTAACCTGTGACTTGCTTTTATTCAGCACTCACATCCTGAAATTCCATCCCCTTCMTAATGGGAATGTGGGAGGTTAAACTTGTCTCACAAAGTTAAATGATGGCATCATACTTGACAGTTCAAAGTACTCTAAAAGTCGAAGAAAACTTTTTAAAAAAGGGTTCAAAAGAGACCTTGAATCACTGAAAGGACACTCATTCTCCCTTTCTCTTGAGTTCATTTGGCCAAAGAATGATGAGCCACCTTCCCTCGTGTGTCCAGGGGAGAGGTAAGGATGCTTCCCATGAGAGAGATTGCCAGTCACATAATTTGCTGCCACAAAATATGTCTTAGCCTAGAATGCGTGGTTCAGCACATGGCTTTGATTCTCTGAGGCCAGACCCTGATATAAAGGTTTCTGTGGAAAAATATCTGATATTCAGACTTGCAAAACTTGAAAGTTGGTTGCAAAAGAGCATTGGAATTTCGAAGAGAAAATGGTTTTTGAACTGTGTGGTGTTGCCTCTTGTGCAAGATACTGTCACCTGTGACTTGTACCGATGTCACTTTATGCAAAATGATCACTCTTAGGCTGTGACAGTGGCACACCTGAGAGGAAGGAGACACACACAGCACCTTACCTAACTGACCTCTGGTATGAGGTTAGTAACTCTTTATGTAACCATATTTATTTAAAGCATCTCTTGTGAGAATGGCTGTTTCTGTCTTGCTTTACATCCAGCTGATGCGACAGAAGCAGCCAATCTGAGAGGGTGAGAAAGGCATGGGGGGAAATGCAGAGAGCATGAAAACAGTCTAGTGATGAGACAGGAAGTAAATTGGACTGGTGGGGGAAAAATTATGAAGCACCAAGGTCCTGTTTGTTTTTCACTGGGTAAAAGAACTGGCTTGGGAGCTGAGACTGACCAGGAGTGGAGAATGGACTCGAGTCCAGTTGGAGGCTGCTCAGTAGTGGTGTTCCCAAAGGCTCAGAATTGAGCCCAGTCCTGTTTAATAACTTTACTGACAATCTGGATGAGAGGATTGAGAGCACCCTCAATCATTTTACTGACAACATCCAGTTGGGTGAGAAGGTTGATGTGTTGGAGGGCAGGAAGGTTCTGCAGAGGGATCTGGACAGGCTGGATCGATGGGCTGAGGCCATTTGTATCGCGTTCTGCAAAATGTGGAAATGGTTAAAAGCTGTTCAAAGACAGGGGAGGTTTAGACTGGACATYAGGAAGAATTTCTCTACTGTAGTGTGATCAAACACTGGAACAGTYTTCTTGGGAAGGTGATTGATCCCCAAAGCCTGTCAGTGTTTGAGACATGGACAGTGCCCTTCAYAACATGCTTTGGCTTGATCAGCCCTGAATTGGTCAGGCAGATGCATTAGATACTTAATTGTAGGTTCCTTCCAACTGAAGTAGTCTATTCACTTTTATTCTATGAGAAATGGGGTTCTGGGGAAAAGGTCTGATTTTTCTGTATGCATGTTTGCAGAGTGGAGGAGTCCAAGAGATCAACATGCTTATGCGAGGGAAGACACAGAGGCAGAGTGTTCTTGAGAGGAATGGGCTTTACAGATTTGAAATGAAAGGTGCAGTACTAAAATGCTTGCTGCAGCATGAAACAGCTGAATGTTTGCCTGCTGTTCCACATCTAAGTTCCCACACATCAACTTCCTTGCATTAGTAAGGTTTTCTTGCTGTTTTATGGCAGAGCTCCCAGATAGGCAAACAAACTTTGTATCCCATTGCCATTTTCCATTCTCAGTACCAAAGAGTGCCCAAGATCACCCTGAAGGCTGCATTTCYTTTAACACCAATCYCTCCTGTTACTTGGACARAAAGAAGGAAAAATGGGGAAAAAAAATCTTATTTTAGTCTTGGGTCTTACCTGTTAATGGTGTTCATAGTAGCTCCCCACAGAATAGATGCTTGATGTGACCTACAGCTGTGGGATTTTAACGGTGCAGTGAACTTTTCAGGTGTCCAAAGCAAAGCAATCTSAAGTGTGGCAAGTGGTGATAAGAGAGAGAAAAATCCAGGTTCTRTATGCCTTGCAGTTGGTGGTACTCCTCAGAGGTTGAGAGGTGTGATCAGGCTGCTCCTGTCCTTCAGATAAGGTAAATCTTCTTTTTGATAGCTTTTTAGATTGACTCCAAGTGAGCAATCTCTCCTGGCCTGAGTCCCTAAATATATATACATTTATGATTGAATAGGAAGCATGCTTTTAAAATTTGTGGTAATCCAAGTTTAGAAACATTATTTCATTCTTCTGCAGGACAATTCAGAACAGTACTGATAAGTCAGCTATAAGGTTTGAAATTACAGAGTTGAGTTTCAGACCCTAAAAGTGTAAACTGTGGACTTGCACAGATAAGAAGTGGAAACTAATGCACACTGATCCAGAAAATTAGATGGAGAATAATGATAAATATGGATTGACTCTACAATCCTACTGCCATTCTTTTTCTGGGATGTGTTAGGAGATGTATACAGCAGCTAGATAATTTTTCTCTGTTCCTGTTACTGAAGARGACTCTGCTGGATACTGTCTCTAGGTCTGGGCATTGTATTTTTGAAAGATACTGATAAATCGTGAGGGAAATTAGTAGAAGGCAGTGGGAATGGTATTAGGGAAAAAGATTTATGAGAAAAGATTAATGGAATTAGGTTTGCTCAATCTAGAAGAGTGGTGATAATTGAAGGATTTAGAAAATCTTCAGCTGAGTAAGGGATTCTCAAATGGAGATGTGTTCTGCATTGTCCTG